CAGAATTAGGAAGCCCCTATATTTATAGTTGAAATTAGAAGTTATTCATATGAATAAGATTGTTTCTAAACACGTTCTGTAGCTTTTATAGGTGGAATAAAGAGAACAACAACTATTACATAAGCAAACTTGCAAACATGAAAGACTATTCTTCTGGGATTTTATTTTATTTTTTTAATGTATTTGTAAAGCACTTTGCAGTTTAAGGTGCTTCATAACAGAGAAAACAGTACAATATGGGATGTAAAAATAAAAATAAGTTTTGCTAGATTAACTTATTGAAACATGCCCGCATGCAGGATATATACACATATATGTATATTGAACTCCTGTGTTTATGTGACCCTTCAAACACGCCAAGCTGGTCACCTACCAGATATCCAGTTGCACTGGCACAGGGGAGAGAAGACTGAGTATTGTTGCAAACATAACCACCGCTTTGCACAGGGGCAAGACAAAGGCAAGATGGACCAATACCTTTTTCTTGGCCTGTAGCAGCTCCTGGTAGGCACTGGATCGTATAAAACGAGGGTAAGAATCACTTTTCATCAGTTTGTAAATGTGCTCCTGAAAGGGAAAGAAGGAGCTGTTAATCCTATAAAAGAAGACAAATGTAGAATGGAAGGCAGTCATATATATGTTGTATAGTATCACGGAATCATAAAGGTTAGAAAAGACCCCTAAGATCATCAAGTCAACCCCATCAACCCAACACCACCATGCCCACTAAACCATGTCCTGTAGTGTCACATCTACACGTTTTTTTGAACACCTCCAGGGATGGTGACTCCACCACTTCTCTGGGCAGCCTTCCCTGTAGTTGTGGAATGTAGAGCAGTCAGCATTATCTTGAACAGGAAATCTTACGGGATACTGGGTTGCAGTTCTGAAGCTAAGGCTGAATTGCTCTCTATTCTTAAAGCACAAATAAAAAGAACACAATGGATCTTTCTTTATTTTACAGTCCCTAATTCCACTGTTTATTTACAACTGAGTTCTAGCTTAAGACCCAGGCTTAAAGCCTCCCTTACATTAGTCAGTTTAGCCAAGTGACTAAACCAGGACCTGTGGATAATTCGTCATCAAATTTTCTGAATTTGTTTCAGGACATGCTTTTCTGACTTTGTAGGCTGGGAAAAGGCACCAGGTTTCTAATTCAGCACAGCAAACAAGTGCATAAGTGAGGGAGGATATCCCCTGACAACTCTTGAAAACATCCTTTGACAAATGTTTATTCTGCTATCCAGCTGACAATATAAAAAGGAAAATACATATGCAAATAGAAGAACATTTCCAGGTGAATCTAATTTTCAATATATTTATTCTTCAGAGGCATATGAAAATTTGAAAACCCTTATCCAGAAAGAAAACAACACAGTTTATAGAGCTTTTCTTTTTGGAGTATTCTTATTTCTGTAAAATATGAAAAACTAAAAATCTATGATGTTGGACACTTTATAATTCTTGTTCTAGTTATAATGTTAAAAAAGAGCTTCGTAGAAAAAGCAATCTCAATAGGAAATACTCAAAAAATGCTTTTTAAAAATTTACTGAATTGTTTTAGCTATTTTTGGTTTACTTTTTACTCAAACCCTAGATTTTACTATAGGAGACTTTTAGCACAGCAATCAGGAAACAGCAAATAAACTATAAAGTAAATGCTGTTTCTCAGCTTGGTACTGCATAAAATTAGTGAATAAAAATAAAAAATAATAATTTAAAAAAAAAACAAAAGGCAAGGTAAAATTAAAGGTTTATTTTTGTTGTATTAGAAACTCTAGGCATTATTCTAAGTGCCTTCCATTCTATTTCTTGCACTAAGCAGAGAAATTCTAGTGTATATTCAGAACTTAGGCTGGTACCGTCTGCCCCTTTTCCCAGAGACATTGAGGTTTCCAGGTTCATGTTGTCTGCTCAACTGGATGAAAGAAGCAGAGGTCTGACAGAAGGAAAAGTCCTGCTTCCATAAAGACTGAATACTTCCCATCTTACATAAATGAAGCGGAAAAATAAGAGAAAAGAGATCGGGAAGTAAAATAGTGTTGAAATTTTACACCTATTTAAAATAAATTTGATTCGGGCAACAAATGTAACTGGCAATGAATTTTACCAACTCAACTGCAAAGACATACTTTTTTTAACCTTTAATCTTGTTAGACTGATTATTTCTGTAAATTTTATCTTTGCTATATGCTGCATTCCTAAATCTCCAGAGAGTCAGCAGCTGCAAGCAAAAACTGTGGGTTTGGCTTAATGCAGAGTGCTTCTGAACAGGGTGTATGCTAGTGTCTAATGAAAACTTTAGTTTTGCATCACAGGTTGCTATCCTCCTATTAGCAAAATGAAATGGTGGGAGAATTATTCCCTCTTCTATTTAGGGCAGAGGCACTTTCTCAAAAAACAGAAAGCCTTGATTGTCTCCTATCCTTTGTGGGACCTGCAGCAGCATCTCCTGACTCCCAAGATGCTGATCTAATAATCAAGCTGTAGGAAATTCTGCAGGGATATGATCTCCATCTCTCCTCCTGACACCATTTCACTTTGCATTAATAATTATATTTTCATCGCTGGGCTGCTGATGAAAAAGGGAGAATGGTACTGGTCCTACTACTTTTACTGTGAATCCAATTATTTTCTCTTGATTTTCCCAAAAGTCTGCAAAGATGAAATATTGTTATAAGTTACATGAAGGGTCACACTTAATACAGAAGTACTTGTTGTTTTTTTTCTGAGGAAAAAGGAGATCTATATTTTACTGGTTTTTTGTTGTTGTTTTGGTTTGATTTTTTTTTAACTTTTACTTCCAATTTCAAAAATACAAGTATTTTCACAAATCTAGCTCTGGTCAAAAGTATCTTTTGATGATGGTACTCAAACTGTGACTAACTCAGACTCCTAAAAGCCAAATAAGACATTTACAGACTCTTCTTTACTGTTGCAAAACTGATTGTTGAAGAGTAGATCATTAGGGTCTTTGCCCAGTGTTAGGTAGATAAGTAGTTTAATAAGGATATAGAATATACAACATTCATGAAAAATTATACTTCTACACAAGCTGTTACAAAATGTTATTTCTCACATGGGTCATATTCTTTTCCTGATGGGAACCTATGATGTCTATAAATGATAACAATTTTGGACGTGCATTGAGAGAACAGCCATTGAGTCTGTATCAAGGGAAGTCTTTCAGAGACAGATCTGGAGAATTAGAAATCAATGTGTGAGTGGGGGAACTTTTCTCTTCATGTAACTGAATAAGAAAATTAAGAGAATAGGAACATGAAAATAGCATTTTCACTGAACTATGTGCTTTGCTCTATTTGAAGCCCACTTGAAGACTTTATACCAAGCAAAGAAGTTTCGTGAAGAGCTTTGGTAATTCATAGGCCTCACAAAAGAAAGAATGCTACCCCTTTGTATTGCCAGAAGGGCATTTTAGGAAACAGAGAATTACTATTTAACTCCCAAACATTAATATATTTAATTTATCCAATGTCCTATTTCAAATGTCCCTAAATAGGATTTCAAACTGACCTGAGCATCTTCAAATGTGTATCTTCCAGGGTCCTTTACATTCTGCGTGGTTTTGTCATAACTTTTTGAATCTAGATTGATAGCGCTGGGTGCACCTGGAGCAAGAAATTCTTGCCAGATTTCCTGAACACGTGCAGGAACTTCACGGATAGGCCTCTTCTTCAGGTCTTCTACTGCTAACCAGAACCTAGGACACAATATAGCATTTTGACTTCCAATTCAGTATAATCATTAAGTGCTCACGCTTTTCTTTGCTCTTAAAAAAAAAAGAAATAATTGAAAGTTTAATCTAAAATATGCTAAAATAAGAAAAACCTGTGATTTTATGTTGGGATCAGCATTCTGGTATACTATCTTGGGCAATCAACCCATCTTAAGAAGCAATTATTACAAACCTCTTCATGAGACAGGTGGGAAATCCTTCATTACTTATGTATGGGTAATTTGCTTACAGGAAGGTTTCCATTTAACAGAAATTAAACTGAAATTTCATTTCACCTGAACTACAAGGATTATATCACTTATAAATCTGTTGCTTTTTGACATTCATTCAAAAGCTAACCAGAACTTATGTTCTTGCTATGTACACAAATCTCTGAGTCCTGCTAAACTATAAACTCTGTAACTGTAACTTTGTTACTATTACTCCACAAATAATGTATAAATTGGAAAAGCATTTGGTTTGCCCTATATAATTTAATTTCTTTCTTCAGCATTGCATGTCTATGCATATTTTTACTGAAATGCCAAATGGAATTACCTATTCTCTCTTCTTTTCTGCTGCTGAGCAAACCAATATTGGGCAATCACATACAGTGAGGCCAGTTCATTGCATCCTTCTCACTCAGCCTAGAGCAGGACCACTAAAAATGTTTTAAGCACTTTGAGCTAGCTAGCTATAAGCTTTGATATTCACTTTTCATTTGATATTAAGATTGCTTTATTATTACTTCTATGGATGTTCAGAGTCTCACTGCACAAAATAATTCTAAATTCAGCTAGGATGCCACACTTAGACATGGTGCAGATCACTTACCTCTCCCTGCCAGGAGAGCTCAAATAAAGCTTGACTTTGTTAAATACACAATATATTCCATTGTAACTTTTCATGATTGTTTTGACAAAACACTGTAATATTGTCCCAGTTTTGCAAATTTATTGATAATGTAATAATGTACAATGGTTTCTTCGAAGTTCCAAAGGGAACCTGTGTCAACAGAAGAACTTCTGTTTCAAAAATTCTGGGTAGCATCACTTATCTCTATGAACTGTAATGTGAACTGAACATAGATCTGCACAAAGCCAGAGGACATAGCGGGAGAAGATACAGAGATACAGAAGATACAGAGAAGGCAGAGTTA